TCGGGGTAGGACCCCCCCCTCCATCCATCCCGACGCCCGGAGGAACGGCCAGGTGGGTCAAGCCCTGGCTTAAAGCGAGCGGGTGCCCTTCATACAATCACAGAATGGTTTGGATTGGAAGGGACCCTAAAGACCACCGAGTTCCATGAGCAGGGATACCTCCCACCAGAGCAGGTTGCTCAAAGCCCCATCCAGCCTGGCCTTGAACACCTCCAGGGATGGGGCATCCACAGCTTCTCTGGACAACCTGTTCCAGTGCCTCACCACCCTCACACTAAAGAATTTCTTCCTAATATCTAGTCTAAATCTCCCCTCTTTCAGTTTAAAACCATTACCCCTCATCCTACCGCTCCACTCCTCATAAAGAGGACCCCCCCATCTCTCCTGTAGGCCCCCCTTTAGGTATTGGAAGGCTGCTACAAGGTCTCCCCAGAGCCTTCTCTTCTCCAGGCTGAACAACCCCAACAGCAATTTGGAGCAGAAATTTCCACCATTTCTCCGCTGCCATTTCTGGAAGACCTCCCATTCCTCCATGGCTCCGCAGCCTTCCCTCCTGTTCATGCTCCCCGTCAGCACATTACATTCCCACTTCAGCAGGAGCCACCCCAAGCCCAGTCCCCATCAGGAACCTCCCAAAAGTTCAACTACAGCCAGTGGTCCCTTACCCTGTCCCCTCAGTGCTCTGCACTTGTCCCCCCATTATCCTACTGACCCATTCTGCCCTCCCTCCAGTTGGAGGTCATCTCCTCATATCATCTCGCCAAGATTACTCCTGCTTTTAGCACTGTGGTCACTCTGGACCGCTATCTTCCTGTCTTTCTCCTACAGATCTTGGAGATGGGCTTCTACAATTAACTGTGAACCCAGAACTGAAATTAAAAATGAACAAGAGGGTACGTCCCCAGCACGCAAACAGGGTATATAAGAATGCTCCAAGTTCTACATTTCTGTGATCTCACAGACTCTAAAAATAAACAGGAAACCAGAAACTACTCTGCTGGGAGCTGAGGGTGAGGAAAAGAAACGTACCTACTCCTTTCACACGGAAAAGCAGCCACTTCTGAGAGCACAGTAAGCGGCAGCTCAGTTTCTTCAGATAAGGCAGTTAAAAAATAAACGAGCAGCAATCTTTTAATGACAGTCCTTGAATCCATGAGAAACCCACAAGCTGCTGAGCACAGTGAGCCTTGCAGAGAAAGAACCATCGTTTCCAACTCTCACAGACCAGTAAAAAAAACCTTCAGATTTGCATTATTTTTATTATCACTTTTCTGAACTTAGAATTCTCAGATGTCTGGGCAGCCTAGCGGCTTTCTTCCACCTCAAACCAAGATGCACAGAACCATGTACCCCTCCCATGTCTCTTATGGAAGAGGAGCATGCAACCCTCCCCTCATCCATCAGTACTCTTAAGGAAAAATAGTAATATACAAGCACACACAGCACCATTATCTTCACAGCCGAGCATGTTTGCACAGGGTGCAGATGATTGTGAGAGGGCATATGGAGAGAAGAGATGGATGAATCCTTCTGGCCAAGTGGGCCGTGCAGCCTCACGGTGGCACTTCTGCAAAACCAGCATCAGATGGTGGTGACAATATAGACAAACCCACCCTAACTTAAGAAACCACCTGCGCACAAAAGTTCTAGTTTCACATGTCAGTCTTACAAGCGTAGATGCCCAGGTGAGTCCAGCTGGTCCTGATCATATCCAACAACTGCACATCTCTTTTGACTTCAACCTGACAGAATGGCAGCATTTCCTCTTCGCAGCTGCCAAGAAATGGTACAATGCCAGCAAACAATGGTCTTCCTCATACGGATCATGGAGGAAATGATCAAGGCATCTCCAGATGCTCTAGATCCTCCTCAAAAAGCACCCGTAAAACAATGCTTTCATCATCCCCACTTACCGCTTCTTGAGGTTCCTCAGAGTGTTTGGAAGAAAAGTATTCTTGACACTGCAGGTCAGAGTTGGTGGATTGGTTGAATTACACTTCTGGTAGTAGGTCTCAAAGGTTTCTTTCACACTCCAATTCTATATGGATTTCTTGTCGGACAAAGGTCTGGCAGGATGCACTCAGGACTAGAAGGTCGTGAGCTGCAGGCTGGCTTTGCAGCCCACCTTTTCTGAGGTTTATCTGGAATCACCTGAGTGTTCCTCACCTGTGTGACAACTGCCATTAACAGAAACCAAGTCCACCTGCATGCTATGGTACCATATAGTGCTTACTTGCTAGTAATTGTGGGAACAGGCAGTAAAAGTTCCTGTGATCTCTCATGGTTGGTTTCTTTCACCTCAGCTTCCTTAGAAAAGAGACAAGAATTTAATTATCTGCCAGGCAAAGTTAGAATTTAAGATGTCGGTTTAATTGAAAATACTTTAGCAGTAATAAATAATGCAGAACACTCCAAATAATGTCTCAGGGATTAGATCAAGGACCCAGGGCAACTCTTCTCAGTGCACTGTGT